AGAAGGCCACTGAGAGTGTCCCAAGTACGTCAGTCCCAGTAGTTGCGGATCCAGTGCCAGAGCATTCTTTCTGATCGGCTTGAGACGCATTATACATTCCACTGAACATGCACAATTTTGGACAGGCATCAAAGCCTGGAGCATGAGATGCAGCCTATCGCAATGTGCCACCAGTCTATCAACTGGAGCTTGTGACTACAGTTTTCGAGCGATCAATGAAGTCATCCACAGTGACATTGTCCATGGAGGAGTTGCTGTCGATATTGCCAGATGTGCGCAACAAGTATCATGAAGCTTGCACACCGAAGCGAGTAGTACCTCCAAGTATAACTGGAATGGCGACGATCTTCGAAAATGTGGAAGACAACAGTTCTATGATCGGACAGGAGGAAGAGTTCACCTATTGAGGGGAGCCTTTAGTGGTGACAGGTTCAGTCATTCCTGATTCATACAATGTCTATCTGAAGCACGTACACAATGGAGAGGAGCCAGAACCATTGACAGTCACAAAAGACTCACATGCATTGCGATCAATAGTTGTGCTTATTGACAACAAAGAGCGAGTACAGGTGATTCTAGATCCAGGATGTCAGATTGTCACAATGTCGGAAGATGTCTGCCATTCATTGAGACTCATTTATGATCCAACAATAAAGCTCAACATGCAGTCTGCGAATGGGGAAATCGACCAGTCACTCGGACTCGTTCACAATGTACCATTTCAAATTGGAGATATCGTCCTTTACTTGCAGATCCATGTCATTCACACAGCCACATACGATATTCTTTTAGGACGACCATTTGACATGCTCACCAAGAGCATGGTGCGCAACTTCTTCGATGAGAACCAGACAGTTACAATCGTATGTCCCAACACAGGAAGAGTCACAATGATACCTACTATACCAAGAGGACCACCACGAGTCAGGGCACAGCATTTGTGATTGAAGGATCTGGGGTTTCACTAGCAGAAGATATGAGTACCGAAAGCAGCGGGATGGCATTAATCATTTGATGTAAGCAGCATGAATACCCCTATTATATCAGCCTATTCCCCAGTCATATCTTCCGATCCTGTTTCCATCCAGTCGAGCTATTTGCAAGCCTTAGGACAGGTCCTTGACACAGTGTCATCATTATACACAGTCACTTCAGATTTCTGATCAACTTCCTGAACCTCAACTTCACGACTACTACAGACAGTTATGGGTCACAATTGCGATCAAGAATCAAGTTCGAAAGCAGGCTACGCTGCGACCAAGGAAAATTACAAGCCAGTCGCACTCAAAACTTGACCCATAATCACATCAGTACCTGAGCAATTCTGAATCATTCGACGAATAGTTGGAGATCCTTTGCGACACCTACCTAAGCTTCCAGAGTGGCCGGGTCCATTCTTTCCAACTGGTCACTATACAAAGGAATGCATGGAGGCCTTGGATGTGGTGCACCAGCCAGGATTCTTATGGCTAGAAGAGCAAGCTCTCATGCACATGTTCATGTGTCTGCACAATCAGGTGTTCGCTTGGAGCGATTCTGAGCGAGGACGATTCAAGTCGCAGTATTTCCCATCGATCGATTTCCCAGTCATTCTCCATCAGCCTTGGATTTAGCGGAACATTCTGATTCCACCGGGCATTTACAAGGAAGTTTGCGCAATTATCAAGAAGAAGCTGGATGCTGGAGTCTACGAGCCCTCAAACTCCTCATACCAATCGCGATAATTCTGCATCGTAAAGATAGGACAGAAAGTCTTTGCAGCTCATTCACAGTCTTGAGCCACTCAATGCCATTACAATCCAGCACTTGGGAGTTACGCTGACTCCAGAGCACCTAGCAGAGCAGTTCAGCAGTCGTGCCTGTGGAGCCATGCTTGACCTGTATATTGGATATGATGAGCGGCTCATACATAGCAGAAACCTCGCACAACCTCACCACATTCCAGACACCATTTGGAGCTTTGCGACTTGTCGCCCTTTCAATGGAGTGGACCAACTCAGTGCTGATCTTCCACAACAATGTCACATACATTTTGCAATCAGAAATTTCAGCATTTACGATTCCGTACATCGACGATGTCTCAGTCAAAGGTCCAGCGACTAGATATGTTAAGTCCAATAGAAGCTTTGAGATGATCGCAGGCAATGATGGCATCTAACAATTCATTTAGGAACATTTCCAGAATCTTAATCAGATTGTGCAGCGAATGGAGTATGCTGGCGGTACCTTCTTGAGAATGAAGTTAACACTATGTGTCAAGGAAACTACAGTCGTTGGACACAGATGTACCCCGATGGGACATTTATCAGACAAATTGCGAGTCTGGACAGTCAGGAATTGGGGCCTATGCAAGGACCTATTGGAAGTTCGAGCTTTTCTAGGCACGATTGGATTGGTGAGAATCTTTATCAGGGACTTCGCAAAGCGAGCACACTCACTGGTGCAGCTTACTCAGAAAGGAGTTCCATTTGAATTTGACGAGGTGCAGCTCAAAGCAATGGAAGACCTAAAGCAGGCATTATTGGAGTCACTGACTTTGAGAGTGATTGATTACGACTCGTCAGCACCAGTTATTTTTGCAGTGAACACATCTCTGATCACAGTTGGATATCAGTTGTGCCAAGGTGTGACTGATGGATCGAAAAAGCGATTTTTCAGTCATTTCAGATTCATCACGCTCAACGATCACGAGAAGAGGTTTTCGCAACCAAAGTTAGAGCTCTACGGTCTATATCATGCTTTGCGAGCCCTCAAGGTCTACCTGATTGGCGTTCACAACCTAATAGTTGAAGTCGATGCTAAGTACATCAAGGGAATGTTGCAGAACCCAGATATTGCCCTGAGCGCAAGCGTTAACTGTTGGATCATCACAATCCTCATGTACCATTTCTGACTAGTTCACATCCCAGGAGTCATGCACGGTCCAGATGAATTATCATGCTAACTGAGACAGCCAGGCAACCCGCCACCAGAGTCCATTGAGGATACAAACTTTGATGATTGGATGGATTGCATGAATGGCTTTATGCACCAAGTCCTTCCCCAGGTGCAGAGTTTGAATCATCAGCCGTTGACCAAGGATGGTCAATTTTTCCGAACAGGGGAAGAGCCAGCCACGCAATCAGTTTTTGTGCTTTCAACTCAAAATAACGATGAATCAGAAACCAGGCAAGATACTCAGGACCTGAAGGTGGTCAGCTACAAGGACATTCCATGATCTGCACAAGCCAGATGGAATGACCATCTCATTGCTCTAATTACTGACTGGCTAGAAATGTTGCAGCAACCGGAGAATTACTTGGACAAAGAATACGACCGGGTGCTCAAGTATGCAGTCCACTTCTTCAAGCGAGATGGACATCTCTGAAGGAAAGATGGACAAGGATCGCACAAGCTAGTCATATTACCAAAAAACTGACTACGAGTTCTCGCTGGAGCACATGATGAACTAGGACACCGAGGCATTTTTCTGACTCAGTCGTTGATTCGTGAATGCTTTTGGTGGCCGGACATCGCGGCTAACATCGCTTGGTTCGTAAAAACTTGTGTAATATGTCAGAAGTGGCAGATCTGCCAGATCCTCACACCAGCGATGGTTGTGATTCCAGCTCCAATATTTGTGAAGATATATATTGACACAATGCATATGCTACCCTCAAACAGATTTAAGTACATCGTGCAGGGTCGGTGTTCGCTCACCCACTATCTCGAGTTCCATATGCTTTGAGTTGAAACTGCAAAGACCCTCAGCGATTGGGTTTTCGAAGATATACTCTGTCGCTGGGGGGCCTTATCAGAAATCGTAACTGACAACGGTGCACCATTTGTAAAAGCAGCAGCCTATCTGGAGAAGAAATGCCACATCAAGCACATCTGGATAAGTGGCTACAACTTACATGTGAATGGAATAGTTGAGCAGTCGCATTTCGACATTCGGCAAGGTCTATTCAAGGCTGCTGACGAAAAGGAGCGCAAATGGAGTCAAGTCACACATTCAGTTTTCTGGTCAGAAAGAGTAACGGTTAGAAGACGCATGGGCTGTTTGCCCTATTTTGCAGTCACAGGCACCCATCCAGTCCTACCGCTTGACATTGTCAAAGCAACGTATCTGATTCCAGCCCCAGTCAGAATGGTGACAACAACTGGCCTAATTGCGAGTCAAGCTGAAGCATTGCAAAAGCACCGCGAACAGGTCACAAGAATCCACAATGCAGTCTACGAAGCTAGAAGAGAAGCAGCTAGGTGATTCGAGTGAGTCCACAAGAATATGATCAAGGATTTTGACTTCAAGCGTGGAGACGTAGTCTTGGTTCGGCATACACAGATCGAGAAAGCACTCAATTGGAAAATGAGACCACACTACATTGGGCTGTATATTGTGCTGTTTTGCAATTGGGGAGGAGCATGTGTGCTCTGCGAGTTGGATGGAGCAGTACTGGATCAGCTGATTGCAGCATTCAGGGTGGTACCATTCACAGTAAGGAAGAGGATCATGATCATGGAAGGAATGTTGGACGCATTGGAAACCAGATTGAAGGAGATGCACCAGTCAGACGACCAAGGAGAAGAGGAACCAGAGGAAGAACAGGAAGATAACGAGTCAGAAGATGAAGGCGAAGGACCGCAAGACCAGTACGACATAAATGAGTCGGAATAGGCAAGCATAGGGATCCGAACTAATTATTTAATCACATATAAGCAAGGACTTAGCTAAAGACTCAAGAATTCGAACAAGACTATCATATTCGGTGGCAAATTTCTTAATATTTCGGTCAGGCAAGATCGCGCAAGACTTTTCAGCACACAGTTTATTCAAGATAACTAACTAATACATTGGCTCTGCACATGTGGAGGGAGAGATCATGAAAGAGATGTGAAGAAATATGCAGATGGCCCGCTTTGCATCGCCCCAGCCAAAGCCCAGCGCACCAACGAAGTCACGACTTGTGAGCCCTCAAGGCACGGTTCTCCTCGAGGAGCTGTTGCAAAAGCTCAATCATCTACTTGAGTTGCGTACTGGCTGCAGAAGGCTCAATGATGGCTGTCGAAGCACGAATCAGCTCTGACTTCACGGTCGCAGCCTTGGAGGAGCCCTTTGCACAAGATTTGCCTTTCGACGAGTGCAGCTTGAGGACCTTGGTCGACAGAATGACAATGGTGCCGGCGTGGGTGTGCTGTGTCATGATGTCATCAGGGTCAGAGCTGTTAAAGCGAGGACACTTGGGAGGCCTGTCGAAATGACCTGAAGAAACCATTAGCAAAGAAGTAACGATGTAGAAACCACGTGGTGGCAGAGGGATCACCAACTTATGTCAAGAAGGCCCAGTGGTGCCCTTCTCTTGCTTGACGATAACCACCTCAGGTGCACCTTCAGTGTCGAACTTGACATCAGGCTTGGGCGTGTCAGGTAAGGTATGGACCAGACCTGGAGGGAAGTCAGTCAGCCCAGAATAAAATGAAAGGATGAGGGCCTACGAAGGCATGGGGTCAGGGCAATCGTGGTCTCATATTCGTCGATCGGCGTATCTAGAGGAAGCTCGAGCTCAGCAGCATAATCGCTACTGGCAGTGTTTGCATCACGCATCTGCTTGTTATAATCAACCTGGTAACTGGATCCTTCACAATCACCTTGGCATCTGGCATCTTGGGCAGTGGCCATTCCCTCAGATGGTACAGCTTCTTTAGTGAAAGCCATCCATCGGCATCGTCAATGTCAGTATCACGCGTCCACCACTTGCAGGCCTTGTGGTTGCAGTGACACTTGTGGCATTTAAAATGGAACTCACTTAGCGTGCAAGTACGAGACACCTTGTTAGAGAGCAGGCAGTAGCGACACTAGAAAAAGGGAGATTAGCGATGAAAAAGGGTGAGCCAGGAAAGCACTTACCAAGCAAGTGATAGATGGCTTCTGCCAAGCCAGGAGATACTCTGGGGGGGAGGGAGCGATCATGAAAGGTGTGCACAGGCATGCACACATACTGGTCCTCTGAGGTCGTAGTCATTTTGGAAGCTTTGATGGACTTGCAACCGTGACCCTTGCCCTTATTAGGATGTGCTGGAGACAAGTTGGAGATCGTGCCACCCATGAACTCGACCTCATCACTGTCACTATTATCCTCATCGTTGCTGGAGAGCTCAATGATCTCAGAGCCTTGCGCAGAAGGAGGTTTATCGAACATGGTAGCGAATGGAGGATCAACCTCCATGGCAGCAATATTGGAGCTGGAAGGAGGGTCGATAGTGACTGGGTTGGCCACACGAGCCTGAAACTCAAACTTAGGGACAGGATCGCCAAGAGCAGCAGAAGCTGTGACAGGCATGGCCACTGCAGAAAAAGAGGTCAGAGCAACTGAGAGGAGAGCATCGTCGATGCCAGTGAAAGCGGTTGGAGAGTCGGAGGCTGCGACCTTCCCAGTATCAGAAGGAGTACACGCAGAAGCCTCCATCGCCACAGGGAGGCTCAGTTTCTAGAGAGAGTCGAAGGATTGTGTCAGTAGAGGACAAGAGATCACAGTCCAGTGCATGCACCTTGTTCACTGAGAAGGCAGCAGCCCACTCAGGTGAGATCAACCCTGCACACCATGATAGCCACGATGATTCAATGTAGGAGTCAAGATGCACCTGGGCTTTTTGGCAAAACTGGGGGTTTTTTTTTTTTGGCATTTAATGCAAAACTGGGTATAGCACATTTGTGACACCGAGTCTGAGAAGGCGCGAAGATCATGCTAGAGGAGAAAGCAAGTTAGCCAGCTGTGAGTACAACAGAGCGTTCACTTACCAGGGCAGAAAGAAACTGGCGTATCAGGAATTCGAAATCCACAGCTGAATCAAGAGGCTCTGCCTTGTGCAACGCCTCCTAAGCGGAGTAAATGATGCCTATGATGGTGTCCTTCAGGTCTGCCACCTAGGTGTCAAGAAAAGAAGTTAGCACTGCGAGAAGCCAAAAGGTTTGGAAGACAGGTGTACCTTGCGTGGAGAAGTGACTGGAGTTGCAGGACATTGAGAGGATGATGGAGTAGCAGGGTCACCCATTGAGGAGCTGAGAGATTGAGGTAGAGGGAGAGGCAAGTTAGGTGCCATTGCAGAAAAGTTTGAACTGGCCAAGCCCGGGCATGCAAACACATCGTTAAAACCTCACGGTATCATCCTCTACCACATGGTAGAGCCAGTCGGCTTTCTCAGGAAGCCGGTTAGAGTGACTTAGACAAGACTTCTATTGCAGGACCGAAATGCGAGCCAACCCCGATCGAAGCCACCCAAAACAATGGATTCATGGCACAGCGCCAGAGATGAATGCAGTCAGACTATTGTACATGAGCAAGTGGAATATACGAAAGACAAATAGAGGTGGTTCTAGACTACGTGGCTTTCCCATTCACAGCCAGAAAGGTTTTCAAGAACTGGAGATGCTCGCTAATGTGAGTCGTCTCCACAACCAGTCGCATGCACTCCTGCATATAGATCTCGACTAGCAGGGCACTGGGAATGGCCAGTCCGTGAACCTCACTAAGAATCTGCTTGGTATCAACAAGTGATTTGGTGTCTGCGATCGCAAAAGGAACGAAGTCAAGATGGCAGCATTTCCAATCAAGAGAAAGAAGGCATACTGGAGGGAGATTGGACAAATTAAGCACTTGAGATGTGACACTCTGCAGCGAACACAAGCCTGCTCACTGTGCTCGGAAGGCATAATCATGCAGTCACTGTTCATCAAGCACTTAGAGCACTGGGGGCAGAAACATAAGCAACGCGTAGGAGGTGAAAAGCAAATGAACGTACCTTGGTATGCAGCCACAGCTTTCTGAAGCTCAAGAACACAATCTGTACATGCTTTGGGAGAGCATGGATGGCAGTGTAGTACTCGTGCAGCATATCTGACTCAGAAGACTTGGTGGTGACCACAGACAATGCAGTACTCACAACGGATGTCGAACGCGACTCTCGGAGTCACTGCCGCAACTTCAGGTTCGTGCTTGACTGCATCCTGGAAGAATCTCTGCTATGGCAAAAGATGCAGTGGAAGAAGAAGGAACATGTCAGCGATCATAGTCTATCCATCAGCAGCCAATTGGGATGGTCTGCCCAAGGAATGTACAGTCATGCCGATCCACGAAAATGTTGTTTGCCGTGTATGCCATTAGAAAGTGATCGCAAGTAAGGTCACGACCTTTAGGGAACTTGTCAAAATTGCCACGGTCTGCAGCCTCGATGATCTCTCACATGATCTCAGTCATCGCAGCAGAAGAACGAATCAGGTCAGCAGTTCTGACAGTCTTAGAATAACCTCTCAGGGTGGAAGGAACCACTGCTGGGATCCAATTAAAGTCAGGGCTCACGTTCAGCATGAGCCAGTCATATACCAAATTGACCTCATGCAGCAGACTCTTGGCATGGTCTGGATAGTTGCAGATCATGTGTAACTGAAAGACGGCAGCGTTAACCATTAGAAGGTAGATCACAACACGGAATACTCACCTTGTAAGCAGAAAACGATGTGGCCCAGTCCTGCCAGACCAACACATGAGCATCAAGAGCGGGTGATACAAACACGAGATTATTGAGGTGCTGCAGTAGCAAAATGCATGAGCATCAAGAGCGGGTGACACAAACATGAGATTATTGAGGTGCTGCAGTAGCAAAATGCAAGCACCGTCAATGGGGTAGACACTGTGAGTGCGAGCAGCAAGGCTGAAGACACCGTCGGTGTGGGACATAGCAGCAAAGGACTGGGAACTGAAAGCAAGGACGTGCTACCTAAAGTATGCAAGCTCGACAGACTGAGGATGGTCCAGATCTCAGAACAGGGAAGGTGATATGCACCGAGATATTCTGCGATCAGAAAACACCAGAAACTGCGTCCAACTATTGCACAATGTCACAGATTTTTGCCACAAAGTCCGCACATGACTTTACTCATGCCACAGATCACGTGCTTCACCAACATCTCACACCACTCAGCCACAGACGTGACACGTAGAGGATCAGGTGATAGCCCACATCACATGTTATGGTCCAGACCCGTGGATGATACGGTCGGACCTGTCTATTCCAGGACACAATAGAGGCACCCATTTGGGAACAAAGGGAACAAGGACTATTGTTATACATCAGCCTTCCGCTTCCTATTAGTTTAGCCAGAAGCCTAGATAAGCACGATGTTCACACCAGAGAACAAAAGGGAAACCAAGATAGGCACGATGTGCACATGCATTACTGCAGCAACCATCGATCTTTCCACTTATTGTTCTACTTCCGGACATCCTATTGTTTCATGTACGGCCATTTGCTTATACCCGTAGATAGGTAGCTTAGGTAAGATAGCCCGCTGTACGTGTATATAAGACCAGCCATGTAGAGGACGAAACTTCAGATTGTTTCTCCTCGTCTACTACCTGTAGCACCCACTGAGCTCACCAGCTCCTTCATATATCTCTCACCCTTTCCTGCGTCCACCATATCAACCAGTAAGTCAACAGGCTCTTGCACCACATAGGGTTTAGGGGGATACTTTTGGGATCAGGGGGATCAGGGCGGCACGTTCCACGTGACTGTCCCTTTTAGTCTTTTTGATCTCTTGTCCAGTGTTACCATGACATTAGAAACAATCTGACATTTTCTGTGCCCCTGCTTAGTGTTTAACACAAGTGGCCACGTATTTTCAGTGCAAGCAGTTTCAGCCGTAGTGCGCGGCTTTTTTGACATACATTCCAACCCAACTTCTACCAGGCGTGAGCCTCAGCAAGACACTGAGCAGCCCAAGGCAGCAAAGTGCAAGGCCACCAAGGCAGAAGATCCTTACGCCGGCTACAAATGCCTCGAGACCAACAAGGAGCGAGGAAGACTTCTCACTCTAGCATCCTTAGGCGCATCCTCTACAGACAGGCAGCGTGCAGCGGCCAGGGTAGTTGACACTACGCATATCAGAGTCCAAGGCATCATCCACCGACCTCGCAGTCATACCCCCCGCTCGAATGCTACAAGCCCAGAAAAGGACATCTCACTACAGGCGGTCGAAGGCCAAGACCACCCCCAGAGATTATCACCTCCAACGCCGTTCCCCCCATCATTGTTGCTCCACAGCCAGTGCGACCCCTTCCCAACTTCGTTAAGGTCAACACACACGCACGACCCATTCGCCCTCTTCCGTCCAAAGTCAGGCCCACCCTCCACATCGAAACACTCAAGAAGCAGGTCTCTGCTACCCGCTTCAGACTACAACCGATATTAGGAGCATTCTGGGAGAAAATTGATCAGGACAAACGAAAGAAGGTACAACTCCTCGCATCAGAGTTAGACAAAGTCTGCGCAGACCTCTACACGGAAACTCATGAATACACCTTCGTCGACAAGCAGGTCGTCAACACGTGCTGCCTAGAAATAGGCAGGATCAACTTCAAGGAGATAGGGAAGCAGCAGAGGTTAGACGAGATCGTCAGGGAGATTGGGAAAGTCAAGGACAAGCAGTACCTAGGCTTCATTTTCAATTAGTTTAAGTACATCTATATCACAATGGAAGGAGCCAATCGTGCATACGCATCCACGTTCAGGCAAAGAATGGATGACATTCTGCATACAAACATCGAGTCAGCACACGACAGAAGCACCCCACGCACCTCGCAGCGCAATTCACCAGAACCTGCACTAGGACCGCAGGATTTTGCATCGCAAGTTGGAGGACCAGCGTCCCCAACCCCATCACTCTTACCCGCCTATGTTCCCCCCATCTGAGAATTCGATGGACACCAGTTCGAGCATCTAGAAGATGCGCTCAGACAGTCCGCTCCCGGAGAAGTCCCGGACCACATCCGCGAATGGGTTATTGTCACAATGAAGCTCATGGTCAGTACCGAAGTCACCAAGGTCTACAATGTGCTCAGAAACAAGATGTACGAGCACAAGAAAGCCTTCGAGTCACTGATACAAAACAACAAGAGCGAACACCGACTCAAGGAGGGAATGCTCCAGACGGAGATCGGGAAGCTCAAGGATAGGATCCTCGCGCAAGATGCGCATATGATGGTTTTGAATGACGAGCTCACGGGAACCCAGGTGGCAATGCTCGATACAGGCAAAGAAATGATGGAAATCAAGGCAGCTAACGTCAAGCTGCGACATGAGCTAGCTTCGCTCAAAGCAAGCGGCATCACTGTGATGCAAGGTCAAACGTCCGGCACGGTCCAATCACACAAACCCCACATCAAAATTGCTGAGCCTCCACACTACTCGGGCAAAGGAAGTCTGGAGGATTGGCTCCAACAACTCAGTATATGGATGCGGTGGAATGAGATCAATGATGACGAGCACAAGATCACCACGGCCCTGCTGCATTTGGAAGGTGGCGCATTCACATACATGTCCAAATATGCAACCAGAGCAGCAGCACAGCAGGCACTTGGCACATGGGAAGACTTCGTCAACATTCTCAAAGTGAACTACAGAACCCTCGACCCGGACAAGGATGTGCAGCAGCATCTGAAGGATATCTGTGGCAAGACGTATCCCACGATGGTATCCTCTGCAGAACAGTTCCGCCAATGGGCCACTAAGACCAACTTAGGGCACACTGCACTCATCGGTTACATCGCTGAACACTGAAGCAAGGACGTATGCCAGGCAATGGTCACACGAGACAGTCTAGGAATTTCTGACCCCATCACATGGCCAGAATATCTCGACCTATGCCTTCAATTAGAGTCCAAGTTCAGAGCCGACAAGGCAGGACAACGTGGAACGGTTACGACATCATCATCATCAGCACCACGGGCCCCGAAAGACCCCAATGCAATGGTCGTGGATCGAGTATCCACCCTCACCAAGGAACAAGAAGGATGGCTGGAGAAGAAGCTGTGTGTATGATGTGGGAAACACCCCTTCATTTTTAAACAGCGATGCCCAGACCCCAAGTACAAAGGCAAATTCGAAATGCCGAAGGGGGGCCAAGCAACAAGGGCAATTTCTTCAAACGCGGCCTCAGACATCTCCGACGACAGCAAGGCGAGATATGAAGCAGTCCATGCTTTCATCGCCAGCTACGACGCGAAGGGAAAGGAAAAGGAGGCAGAACCGGAACCAGCTGTCGAAGCAGCTAGGATCACGGAGGTAGAAGATGATGAGGATTTTCTTCGGCGGGTTCTCTGAGGTCTGGCCAGAGTTCCCATAGACACTGTAATAGTACCTACTCGCTCTCACATGTATCGGTATCAAGTTTTTCATACATCGCATCTACTGGTTTGTCAAAACACGCGATCGATTTACCTGTTCACCTCAAACAGGGAGTAAGAGAAGCCCAGACTGAGGTGCTCCTTGATTCAGGAGCATATTCTTGCTACATCAACTGACGGCTGGTTGATCAGTTGAATCTCGCTACGATCTCACTTGAGAAGGAGATCAGGGT